TGGAAGAACGATGAACGAAGAACGAAGAACACTTTCTTCAAGGGCCGTCGGGGCTTGATCTTGAATTGGTGGATGATTGTTGATCCAAAGGGCCGTTGGGGCTTGATCTTGGAAGAACGATGAACGAAGAACGAAGAACGCTTTCTTCAAGGGCCGTCGGGGCTTGATCTTGAAAGTGGATGATTGTTGATCCAAGGGCCGTTGGGGCTTGATCTTGGAAGAACGATGAACGAAGAACGAAGAACACTTTCTTGATTCTTCGGGAACCTGGATGCTTGAGAGCTTCGGAGTTTCAGAGCTTCAGAGCTTCAAGGTGTAATATGAATTGGTTCTTTTTTTTAAATGAATGAATTAGCCTTCTATTTATAGAAATTTCCAAGGCCTAATTTTGAATATAATATTCCAGATGAAATAAGTCGTTTCTGCCAGGTGTTGACACGTGTCCTATTTGATGACTTTTCCAACTCATTTCAATTTTCATTGAGTCACACGCTACGTGTAAAATTTATGTAATACATGAGCGTTGACACTTTGATTTATCGGTCAACATTTATTTACCGAAATTTCGATGTCTACAAATGCCCCCACTTCAAGGCACGTCGTATACATGTGCTTGTCACGTGTAGGAGATGCGTTTTGAAGTCCCTTATTGTAGATGTCGATCCAAGGGCCGTCGAGACTTGATCTTGAATTGGGCTGGAGATTTCTTCAAGGGCCGTTGAGGCTTGATCTTGAATTGGGCTTGAGATTTCTTCAAGGGCCGTTGAGGCTTGTTCTTGAACTTTTGTTTGAAATTTCTTCAAGGGCCGTCGAGGCTTGATCTTGAAGGTTGAAATTGGACCACAAGGAGCTTCATGTGGTAGATGATCTTTGGCTTTGGTAGTGGGTGAATCGGCACGTATTTTGTTGCGCTTGTTGACTTTCCACAGCTTTGATCTTGAACTGGGTTGGAGGATTTTCTGGCTTCCTCCGATTGTTTGAACTTACTCTTTATGTGGAGTTTGATTTGATTCAAGGGTGATGGACACTTGATCTTGAATTGTACTTGTGATTTCTTCAAGGGCCGTAGAGGCTTGATCTTGAACTTTGGCTGGAAGCTTCTTCAAGGGTCATTTGAGGCTTGATTCTTGAAGGTTGACTCGAACACATGGCAAGCAGGCACGAGGTGAAGGTGACGACTTGTTGCTTTGTTCAATCTTTCCAATTCACACCTGAGCAGTTTGGTCAGCGGTATGATCTTCAAGATTGATGGGCTCTTCTTCCAGTTGGTGACTTGATATTTAAGGATTTGATTCAAGGGTGGTGAATCGACACGTGCAGCCCGCAATGCCTAGTAAGTCGACCCAAGAATTTGAGGGTCAAAACGAGTTCACCGTCCAGAGTGATTGTAACTTTGATGATATGAGATACTTTTGATTTTGAAGAAGTAGCGGATGAATCGGCACGTGCTTTGTGCTTGTCTCCACATGCTTCAATGTATCATTTCCCTTGCCTTATCTATTCTTCTGGCAGAATGTGGCATATGCTCGAGTTCCTCAGTTTGGACTCCTTCTGCTGAGTTGACTGTGCAGGCTGCATTCTTCTCTGCTTGTTTCTTCAGGCAGATGTGGCAGCTTCTTGAGTTCTTCAGCTCGGACTCCTTCTGCTGAGTTGACTGTGCAGACCGCATTCTTCTCTGCTTGTTCCTTCTGCACGTTGTCTCCACATGCTGCAAGGTATCATTTTCACTTGCCTTATCTATTCTTCAGGCAGATGTGGTAGCTTCTTTGGAAGTACAGCAGCAGTGGGAGACGAGTACTCGAGAGCAGTGCTAAGTAGGCAATTAGGGAAAGGTTCCAAGCAGTCGGTTCCTTACCCGAGTTTGAGTGGAGGTTCCGGCATATTGCTTTCTTTATCCTTGTCTTTGCAGGTAAGAACAAGGACAAAGGAAATGACAGGAGAGTGCATGATATGAGATACTCTTGCTTTCTACCCTGGTGATATGAGATACTTTTGCTTTGGAGTCATTGGCTTGCAGAGGTACCCCAAGGAATAAGGAACATTGAATGACTCGAGAGGCTTCGTTGGGAAAGCATTTTTGGAGATGAAGAAAGGCTCTGTATGTCTGCCTTGCTATGGAGGGCGAAGGTGGACAGTTATAGGAAGTTCTTTGATACCTGTAGAGGTACTATTCTTTCACTCGTGTCGGCAACCAATGCGTGATTGAACAGTAAACTTCACGTGCTTTCTCCTTCACCGAAAATCTTCGACAAATTGCCCGTGATTTGCGCAAAGTTGAGTGTGCATATGACAGGTGTTGACGAGGCTGAAAAAGACTGGCGCCTCTTCGATATCTGAGTTTGCGTGTGACGGGTGCCGACGCGTCTGGAAAAGCAAGATGCTTCTCCGATTTCTGAGCTTGCCTCTTCGATTTTTGAATGGCCTCTTCGAATTCTGAGCTCGCCTCTTTGATCTCTGAAATCCCGTCGAGTGCTGATTTTTTATAGAGGCATGCAGTTTTCAAAGCATACTTGAATTTTCGCTTGTGAAAACTCCCCTCTTGCACTTCTAAGATCTTGATTTGTCCAATCTCTTCTTTCTTCAACACTTTGAAAATGTCTGGACCCTCCGATCGTCGTTTTGACTTGAATCTTGGTGAAGAGGCAGTCCCGCCTTCTCCAGACAACATATGGCGCCCATCCTTCATATCCCCCTACTGGTCATCTTACCGTTGGGGATTCGGTGGTGAAGAATGATATGACCGCTGCGGTGGTGGCCCGAAACCTTGTCACTCCCAGAGATAACAGACTACTTTCCAAACGGTCTGATGAGTTGGCTGTTAAGGATTCTCTGGCTCTCAGTGTGCAGTGTGCAGGTTCTGTGTCTAATATGGCTCAACGCCTATTTGCTCGAACCCGTCAAGTTGAATCATTGGCGGCTGAAGTGACGAGTCTCAAACAGGAGATTAGAGGACTCAAGCAGGAGAATAAACAATTGCATAAGCTTGCACATAGCTATGCGACAAACATGAAGAGGAAGATTGACCAGATGCAGGAATCTGATGGTCAGATTTTACTTGATCATCAGAGGTTTGTGGGTTTGTTCCAGCAGCATTTGCCTTCGTCTTCTGGGGCTGTACCGCGTAATGAAGCTCCTCATGATCAACTCCCGGCTCCTCTTCTTCCTGGAGTTCTGCCGAATGGTGTGACTTCAAACAGTCAACCTCCGACGTCTCTTTTTCCTAGAGCTCTGCCGAGTACTGAGACACCACCTGAGCAATGAAAACTCCCTCCCGTTTGTTTGCACATTTGTAAAATTTTTTTTTTTTTTTTTTTTTGAGAAATCAATAAACGAGCTTTATTTCCTTCAGATGTACATATATATATACATATATATAAAAAAATATAATATATATAATATATACCCATGTACATATATATAATATATACCCACACAATGTACATACACACACACACACCCACATTTTTCCTTTTGCTTTTCGGTGGTGTTCACATACACCATCATAACTTAAATGATGGCCACTATTGCTTGTCTGACACAACTCCACAAATCATATTTTATATATAACAAATATATACACACATGTCACCACACCTCTTTGCCGTCCACTATCCCCAAATTTTCATTTATGTTTTTTGTATATATATATTTTTTTCTTTTTCAGGATGGTGCCTGATGCACCATACCCTTTTTTTTTTTTTTTTATTATTATTTTTTGTTTCTTTAGTTGGTGCCCATGCACCATTCAACCCCCATTTTTTTTTTATTTATTTATTTATTTTTATCATGCACATATACATACATACGTACATACATATACATACGTACATACATACACATACGTACATACATATACATACGTACATACATATACATACATATATATACATACATACATATATATATATATATATATATGGTGCGGGATAGGAGTTTGGAGAAGGAAGAAGGAGGAGCACGGAGGAGGTAGGTGTGGAGGAAAGAAGGGTACGGGCTGGCGTGGAGGCCTTGTGCGCTCGAAGGTGTGGCTGCTGAGCTGCAGCTTTGATACTCTCTTTACTTCTCATGTTGTCAGGCACCTTCCCCACAACGTGTTGCAGCATGAGCTCCACTCTCTGAGACGGGCTCAGCGGCGACGGGCCCAACAGAGCTGATTCGATGGTGGCGGGAGGTGGTTGTTGTTGCTGGTGTCTTTGTATTTGGGCAGGGTGAAGAAGACCCACTCCTTCTGCGAACTTCTGGGATGAAACCCGTCGTACAACCCGACCCGACCACCATGTACACGACGAAGAACCTCGGGACCAGCAATAGCACAAGCAACAACTCATGTGAGTTTCCGCAAAAGGACAATCCCAGAACTTTAATTTCCCGCCATGTCCTTCTCCTCCACCCCTGCGCAGCTCAGTCTCCTCGTCTGCTCTTTCTTCAAAAAAACTGCCCAAATCCGATAAAAGCCCATCATCGTCGCTGAAATTCAGACCAGCCCCGAAGTCAATTGCCTATTTTTCTATACTCTTTGTGTGAGAAGCCCTCTTTGTCTTCGGGGAACACCACAAGCAACCCGATTTCCTCGGGGGCGAAGGGGAGTCTGTCAACCAATTAGAAGAATCCGGCGGAGAATGAAACGACCGAGATTTCGGTTTGGGCTTAGAACGCTGCTTCTTATCTGGGTTCTGTTTGGATGGCGAGAAAATTGCACTTTCCGGAGAGGAATTGGAGGAATTTGAAGGGGATGAGACTGAACCACTTTTCAATTTCGCCTTTGAACCCCTTTTCCCACCTGGGTTGTATTTCGATTTCGCCACTAACAATTCTGAGGGATCAGATTTGAGATTTTGGCCCCAATTTCTCATCTGGGTTCTGTTTGGAAGGCGAGAAAATGGCAGCATAAGAAACAGGGTCTGTCTTACCTTCAACGGAATTGAGCCGAGCTGAACCGGTGGTTAACAGTGGCGGGCGGGCTTGCAGTGGTGCACGTGGATGTTGAGAAGCCTCCTTCTGGCGACGGAGATGATATCGGCGATGACGAAGATGAATTTTTCGTCTGGGAGCGTTTAGTTTTGCGACATCCGCCGCCGATGGGGACGTTGCGGAGGACGCCGCCTTTGGTCCAGTAGCGGCGGCAGGCCTTGCAGAAGTGGCGGGGCTGGGAGAAGTTGTAGTTGTTGTAGTAGCAGAACTTGGTGTTGAGAGAATCGCACCGCGGGCACTTCAAGGCATGCTGGTTCGGGTGCTGATGCGGTCTTAGCCGCGGGTCTCCTCCTCCCGAGCCCCCGAAGAACCTCCCTCCACCTCTCACTGAATGAATGTCTTGCATTTCAATTACCCAAGTTGACAGACTGCTGAATTTTTCCGAGAAAATTGATCGATTCTTGAGTTTTCCGGGAAAAAGCTAATGGAATTGCTGAATTTTCCGGGAAACTTCGCTCACATTTGCGTACTTTGAGCGTGCAATCTTTTCCTTATCACACATACTGTTTTGAGTTGTTCTTCTAGAGAGAGAAAGTGAGGAAGGAGAGAGAGCGACGTGGCTGGGGAGTTGGGCTAGTGGAATCCGGCTGCATCAACGAGCTGGAGATGAAAAACTGGGCCACAGGAGTTGGGCCCAACGTTTGGTGGCCTTGTTGATGGTGTGAACCGTGCTGGGCCGAAGCAATTGCAGATTATATATATTGTACAACCCTTTTTTTTTTTTTTTTTTTTTGTAAATACATAAACATATGTATTCATCATTTTTTTATAATAAAATTGACTTTCTTTAATAAAACATTTATTTATATTTTGATGTGACTGAACTCGAAATTTTGAATATTCAAGCTGCCTACGTACCCCTCCAAAGAAGAGATCAAGTCGTAACGTAGTTCAAATACATACATATATTTTTTTTGGTATTTTCTTTTTGTGCCATTTGCAGTTTTAACTCATGCAGACAATGAGTGTTTGTTGTCGCCTTTTATGCTCGTGCGGACCAGGAGCTTTGTGCCATGCAGTTTAGACTCGTGCGGGCGAAGAGAATTTGTGAATTTTGTCAAGCAATTTTGGAGAGGCGTTCCTCACAATTTTCATAGCAAGGAGCTTTGACCGCATGATTGAAAAAGTCTTCGGGCAAGAAGTCGCGCATCGTGATGGCAACGGACAATCTTTGTGTCGCAATTTCATCATCTTCAACATGTTCACGTTGCTTTGAAGGTTGACAAGAGCTGTTTTGCCCCCTTTCCGATTGGCGGACTTGTGGAGGAGACGTATGCTTCTTGTGCAATTTCTTAGGAGTGACTTGAGTCCATCCTTCAACTTTGCTTGTCTTTGAGGATGCCCCCAGCGGTTGAGGTGAAAACTTTGAGTTGGAAGAGCCAAAAGTGATGGTGGTATAGTTTGACTTCACCACATCGTCAAGATCTAGCTCGATGATTCCTTTTTGAGCCAGCTTCATGATGAGATCTTTCAGCACGAAGCACTTTTCTGTCGGATGACTGATGAAGCGGTGGAATTTACAGTACCTTGGACTGTCGGTGCGATTCATCTCTTTTGGCCGTCTGCACTCAGGCAAGCCGATCACCTTCTTTTCCAGCAAGTCTTCTAACATAGCAACCACATCAGAGTCGGGGAATGGATAAGTTTTCTCCTCGAGCTCCTTCAAAGTGCGTCTACGCATCTCTTGATCACGAAAGCCTTCGGCTTGAATCGCCTTGCCTCGTGTAGGGATTTTGACGGGAGCTGTGTTGACTGTCATTACTTCCTTGGTGGATTTCCACGCAGCCTTCTCCACCTTTGTCTCAAGAACTTTGTCGTTCTTGTAGTTGGCGATCGGTTCCTTCTTCCCATGATGGGCGATGCTTAACTCCATGTCATGGGCGCGGGTGGCTAGCTCTTCGAAGGTCCGTGGTTTGATGCCTTGAAGGATGTATTGCAAACCCCATTGCATGCCTTGGATGCACATCTCGATTGAAGAGGTTTCCGAGAGCCTGTCTTTACAGTCGAGGCTTAGAGTACGCCATCTGTTGATGTAGTCAATGACTGGCTCGTCCTTCCACTGCTTTGTGCTCGTCAGTTCTAGCATGCTCACAGTGCGGCGGGTGCTGTAGAAGCGGTTGAGGAATTCCCTTTCCAACTGTTCCCAGCTGTTGATGGACTCAGGCTCTAGGTCCGTGTACCACTCAAAGGCGTTTCCTTTCAGCAAGCGCACAAACTGCTTGGCGAGGTAGTCTCCCTCCGTCCCCGCATTGTTGCAAGTTTCGACGAAATGTGCAACGTGCTGCTTTGGGTTTCCTTTTCGATCAAACTGCATGAACTTTGGTGGTTGATAACCCCTTGGCATCCTTAGGGCATCGATCTTCTTAGAATAGGGCTTCGAGTAGAACAATGAGGTATGTGAGCTCCCTTCGTACTGTGCCTTGATGGTGTTGGTGATCATCTCCTGCAGTTGCTGGATAGAAAGAGATCCCATGAGTGCCGCTGCTTGGTCTGGCTCCGGCTTCCCATCGATTTTCTTCACTGGGGGTTCTTCGTCTCCGCCAGCTCATCCCTTTAGTGGATCATCCTCTGGGTCGGGTTTATCGCCGTCCTGCGCCTCCAGTCGGTTGACTAGTGCTGCAATTTGCAAGTCTTTTTCTTCCACAGTTCGGGTTAGCCTTGCGATTGCTTCATTCATTTGAGCCAGCTGCTCATCGATTGAAGTTGCTCCAATAGTCATGACTTGCATGGCTGAACTGTCGCTTGAATCGACATCGGAAAGCATGGATTCGGAGTATTTCCTTGGGCTTTCCCCCCTTGGTGCCCTTAGTGAGGCTAAGATGATCAAAGGCTCGTGCCTTGGGTGCTTTTGTTCCCTTGGCAGAGTTGATGCAGAGGTGAAAGAGGCGGCAGAAGTAGCTCTTGCCATGCTTCGAGTCGTGATGCCCAAAGTGACACCAGTTGCGACGAGGACGCTTTTGTTCTTTGCACCGGTTGCGGGAACAGTTTGAGCCTTCCTTGATGCCATTAATTTTGGAAGTGTGCTCGAATTTCTTGAACGGAGAAAGAGATGAGAGGCAGAGATTGTCCCACTGGGCGTGCCAATTTGTGAACACGGAAAATTCTTGAAACGAATGAGACAAGAACAACGTGCACAAACAAATATTTGTATTTGATGATTTTGGGTTACAATCTCTCTCTAATTTGATCCTCTGATTCGATCTCCGTAAGGTGTGTATTTGTGGATGTGTGATTGATCCAAAGGGCCGTTGGGCTTGATCTAAGGATGAACGTTCTTCAAGGGCCGTGGACTTGATCTTGAAGGTGGATTTGAGCGGATCTTCAAAGGGGCTTTTGGGCTTGATCTTTGAAGAATAGTGACGAACGGATCTCCAAGGGCTTTTGGGCTTGATCTTGAAGAACAGTGATGAACGGATCTTCAAGGGCTTTTTGGGCTTGATCTTGAAGAACGGTTGGATGTGTGGATTTGTCGACGTTGTTGATCCAAAGGGCCGTTGGGGCTTGATCTTGGATGAACGGATGATGAACGAAGAACGAAGAACACTTTCTTCAAGGGCCGTCGGGGCTTGATCTTGAATTGGTGGATGGTTGATCCAAGGGCCGTCGGGGCTTGATCTTGGAAGAACGATGAACGAAGAACACTTTCTTCAAGGCCGTCGGGGCTTGATCTTGAATTGGTGGATGATTGTTGATCCAAAGGGCCGTTGGGGCTTGATCTTGGAAGAACGATGAACGAAGAACAAAGAACGCTTTCTTCAAGGACCGTCGGGGCTTGAATCTTGGAAGAACGATGAAGAACGAAGAACGAAGAACACTTTCTTGATTCTTCGGGAACCTGGATGCTTGAGAGCTTCGGAGTTTCAGAGCTTCAGAGCTTCAAGGTGTAATATGAATTGGTTCTTTTTTTTAAATGAATGAATTAGCCTTCTATTTATAGAAATTTCCAAGGCCTAATTTTGAATATAATATTCCAGATGAAATAAGTCGTTTCTGCCAGGTGTTGACACGTGTCCTATTTGATGACTTTTCCAACTCATTTCAATTTTCATTGAGTCACACGCTACGTGTAAAATTTATGTAATACATGAGCGTTGACACTTTGATTTATCGGTCAACATTTATTTACCGAAATTTCGATGTCTACAGTCACGTGATAAAATAAAAATACCAAGCAATAAGTTATTAAGTTAAGGTACTAATACAGTAACGTTCTAAACATAAGTATGTCTCTACTTTCTAGAGGCCCCCTTAAATAATTTTTACTCTCATTTTTTTTCTCGAGACCTACATAGCACACCTTATCCACATTCTGGTTTACCTTCTCACTTTTCCTTTTGCGATTGTACTCAACTAGCACTCGAAACCATAATTTTAATTATATTAGAATCCCATTATTATTTTTTCCTTTATTAGTGTAATTAAAATTTTAGTTTGTCAACTAAAAAGTAATTAAAATTTTGATTTTATGTGCTAGTGGAATATATGTGACATGAATAGAATTGAGAATATTAAAATAAAAGGCTAAGTGAGAAGGTTGTTAGCAAAATTTCCTTTGCTAATAAAGGTCGTTTGGAAATACTTTAAAATCACTGAAAATGTTTTTGGTAATAATTGATTATAAGTTCTAAAAGCACTTAAAAATACTTTTTGGAAAAAACACTATATACTTTTTGCAATAAGCATTTAAGTCATTTTTTAAGACATATTTGAATTTTTACTAAGAATTAGTATTAAAAATACTTTCATTAATTTTAAAAGCGCTTACAAACACACCAAAATATGATATTAAAAAGGAAACCTTAATGAAAAGCTTTCGATACTATTTATTTAACAAAAATCACATTTTTACACTAAAAAATTAATTATGATATTTACCATTTATTTTATCTGTATCGTTAAAATTTAAAATTTTAAACTATTTCCATTAATTTTTCTTATTAAAAAAAGCAAAAAACAGAAACAAAATATTTTCCCTATCTGCGTGAGAATTCGAGCTCAGTTAATTTCTCAAACACGTGGCTGTCATCTCCATCTCCAATGCCAACAAAACAAGAGTGAGAAAGAAGAGAGGAATAAAGCACTGGATCTGTCTTCAAAGCCTTCAGATCTCCTCCCAAATTCACACTCAAACAATCACTTTCCTCTTTGATTCCGTGCAAATCCCAGCTCTTCGAACAAAATTGATAGGAACCCAGATTGAAATTTCCGCTGCAGATTTGGGGAAAAAAAAAGCTTCGGTTTTCCTCTCCGCCGCTGAAGATTGAAACGAAGAAATGGCGGCGGTGGAAGTTCACAAGTTCGCTCAGTGCATCACTTGCCACGCTTGGAGCCGTGATCGCTCCAGTAATGTTTCCCACCCTTTCTAATCATTTTTCTTATTCTGTTTGGTTGCTCGGAAAATATGGGATAACCGATAGGAAAACAAGCATTTAGTCTCTCGTTATTTTTTTTAAAGTTACATATTTTAATGCTTTTATGTTTGTGGGTCTGTGTTGGAAAATTGGAAAGCTCAGAGCTTGGAGCGATTACAGTTCATGAACTAATGTGAAGAT